CGGTGTGTGTGATGGGCGCTGCTTCTGTCGCTGCAGGTCTGCGAGCAGCTGGGACTTCGGTTTTGCCAGGATGACGGCCTGGGTGCCTTCCGATGCGCTGGGTCGTAGAGTCTTGTGTGGCACAGAGTATGCAACTGTGCGCTATGTTGGCAGCGTTCCTTCTACAGCAGGTAAGCGTCGCAACAGAAAAAAACCTTTACTTTTAATGGTTGTTTTATGTTTTTCTTAATTCTTAAAAAAATTGCCAGGTAGAATGTGGCAATTTACAGACTGTTTTTTCCTCATCGTCCTTGTGTAAGTGTGGCAACTTATAATCTAGATAATTTGTTGGATTTTTTTAGAAGTCAGAGTTGTCAAAAGGAGTGCAAGAAGTGCTTTTGGTTGAAATTGGTTATGGTTTTTTTTTCTTACAGCAGAAAGGTCTTAGTACCTTCCTCTTTCCATGAGTTTTCACAGTCTCTTCCCTGATTTCTGTGCACTGGCATAGTCTGGGAAGGAGGGAGACAGGCAGTGGCAGCAGATCAACAGACTAGGCACTTCTTTGACAACATATTCAAATTCACGGGGACAAATAAGACTCAAACCAGCTTGCTGAAAGATCTGACCAGTCCGATTGTGAGAGCACTATATGTCATCTTCAAAAAATTGTAGCAATAGGTTGAGGAGACTGCTGATGCTTGGAAAGAGACTAGCCTTGCTTGCAGTCCTAGAAGAGGCAAAAACAATGACCAGGGAACTGTAGACTCATCAGCCTTGTATCAGGTCCTGGAATGATCATGTAGCATGTTCCAATGAAGTCCGTTTCCAAGCCTATGAAGGGCAAGGTGGTAGTTAGGAATACTTGATACTTGTAAAGAACAAGTTATGCTTGGCAAACTAATTACCTTCTGTGATGATACGACTGGGAACGTGGACAAAGAGAGAATGGGGGATGTAATATTCCTTGACTTTAATAAGTCTGTTAACTGTGTCTCTATAAAGAATCTTATTTGGAAGCTGGAGAAATATGAGCCAGATGAATGGACTGTTAAGTAGGTTGAAAGTCTGCAGGTCTGTCAAGTGGAAAAGTGGTGATCAATGGCTTGGTATCTGGCAATGCGCAAGTACTACAGAAATAAACGCTGGGGTCTGTATTGTTTAACATATTCACCAGTGTCTCAGATAATGAACAGTGTTCAACCTCAACTGTCTGGTGTGACAAAAGGTAGAATTGCAATCCAGAGCAAGCTTTAGGAACTTTAGGTTTGGGCCTAAGAGATTCAAAAAAGATAAAAATGCCACATGTAGCATGAAATAAACCTGTGTATCAGTACAGACCAGGAAGCAGTAGTAACCCATAGGGTCTATTGTAAAGAACTTGGGAGTTAACATGGATACTGTCATGAATATGAGCCAACAGTGAGCTCTCATCACAAGCAAGATACGTGTTGTGCTGGGTTATCTTAGAACGATGAACGTGGCAGACAAATCAAAGGAAGCTGTTATCCCCCTCTGGGGGAAGGGGTTCTTGATAAGATTGCACTTGGAATAATGTAGCTGGTTTGGGACCATCCCGGTTCAAGAGGAATGTGGATAAACTCAAGAGGATCCAGTAAAGGGCTGCCAAGATGGTCCGCGTATGTGTGTTGTGAAGAGAGGCTGAGGGATCTGGGCTTGGTTCTAATAGCTGCCTGCAGCTGTTTGACAGGCGGTTACAAAGATGACAGAGCCAAATTCTGACTAGTATTAGATTATGTAATAAGGAACAGTAGTCACAAATTGTGTCTGAAAAGGTTCAAACTGGACAGCAGGAAAATCTCTTTCTCTGTGGAAGTAATGCAGCACTGGAATAGGCTGCCCAGATAAATTGGAATCTTTCTCTCCTTGGAGATTTTCAAGGTCTGGCTAGGTAAGGACTTCCCTGACTGACCTGTTATATTGCTGGTGATAATCTCCTGCTCTGAGAGAGACAGTTAGGCTAGATGAACTTCAGAGGTTTCTTCCAGCTGTGATTTCTGTGGCTATGATGCTATAAATTTTAAAACGTATCTACCATATTTTTTCAGGAATTTGGCTTGGTGTGGAATGGGATGATCCTCAGAGAGGAAAGCATAATGGTACCTATGAAGGAACACAGTATTTTAAGTGCAGGTGAGCTGATTCACAGTGTTGGCATGTCATGTGCATTGACAAGATGGTCATGGGAAAATGCCCTTTTGCAATTTTCAGGGCAAACCCTTTTGTTATCAGCTGGCTGATATTAAAAAGATAAATCTGTATGCTGTGACTAGCTATGCTATAAAGGCTGTTGCATTGTTATTAATCCAGTTACAGGGATTAGAATATGATAAATACTTGGAAAATACAAGTCATATTTTCAGAGGTATGTAATAAAATGTGACTTTTGGATGTTATATTAATATTACTTTTAGTAGGTTTAGACCTTCTACTTTACTAAGGAAATCAGTATTTCCTACTTACCTTTCCTCCTTAGGAAATTCTGAAGTTAAATATTGGTCCATATTAACTGTCTGAAATACAGTTTAGATTTGGACTTAAGATGACTTGCATGCTCCTGGTAATGATTTGGATTATGTTTGCATCACTGAGGATTTGTTAAGTGTGTTCGCTTGCATTTAATACATGTAAAATACAGTGTAGCTATGTGGATTTGTTTAAGTATATACATGCATTATGTTTAAGTTTAAAGACTCCGAACACTTAACATGTTTGAAATTGAGGAATGCAGGACTGTAGGGTTGATGCTAAGAGCAGCAAGCTGCCAATTTCCACATCAGAGGACACTGTAGCAGCTAAAAGTTTGTGAGTTAAAAAAAATAACTGGACAAATTCTTAGACGAAAAGTCATCAACGTTCCTTAAATACTAAGGGCTGCTAGCTCAGTAAGTTCCTGAACACTGAAGTGGTGGAGGATGAGAGACTATTCTGTGGCTACATCACTAAAATACTTGCCCTGTTGTATTATTTTTCCCAACCATTTCCTATTGGCAGCTTTTAGAGAAAGGATGTGGTGTTACATGGATATTTCTTTTGACCACTGGATCACAGCCAGTCTTATGTTAACGAGATGAAACGGAGAAATTTCTAGGTCTTTTTTCCACCTCCTACTTTCCAAGGCTGGTAGTAACTGTAAAAGGGTGCTTTGATTATGGTTTGTTCCTAACTGTTCGAGTGAAATGAATCTAATATAAATCAAATCCTGTGACAGTGAGCACTCAATTAATAGAAGGCTTTTGAAAATATGAAAGGAAGTGACAAACAAAGACAATAAATTAAAAGTTGTCTGTGGTCTTGCTTTTGGATGTGTGTTTGCTTTGGTTTGTTGGAAAACGTAAGGAGACTTATCTGAAATTAATTCCTCATGTTAATTATCTTGAAAAAGTTAAAGCCACTGATGAGAGGTTAAGCAAATAATCTTTTTTTTTTTAACTTGCATATAAATGAAAGTTGTAAGAATAGCTGGATAAACTCAGTCCAAAGATTTGTCTTGCTTAGTTTCCTGCCTCTGATATTGACTAATAAGAGATGATCAGAGAAGTGTGAAAGAACAAGAAAAGTATGTAGTGACAGTTTTCCAGAGTCTCACTAGCTTTGGCTAGTCATGGTTCCAAGATTTTTCCAGAGCCAGAGGTGGTATATTTGTACATGTACTTTGTTTTGCTCTCAATGGATGATTCAACAGAGAAAACTTGTTACACCGATTTCCCTCAGAAGAACAATCAAAAGCATGTAGTAACAGTGAATGCGTTTGCTAACCTTTGAGCTTGTGTTTTCAGTTTGTGAAAATTGTGATCATTTCCATTTTTATGAATAGATGAATCACGGAATACCGGGTTGGAAGTGATCTCAGGGATTATCTGGTCCAACCTTTCTAGGCAAGAGCACGGTTTAAACAAGATGGCTCAGCACATGAGTCTTGTCGCTTTTTCCTATCTGAATATAAGAATATGATATGGAAGGGACTTAGAACTGTTGCTGTAAAATGTCACATGAAAGAAAAAAAAAAAGATTTAAACTATTATTTCTGTATTGTGGGGAATGTAGGTCTAGTTTTGTATCTGCCAGAAGGTCCTCTGGAGACTAATGGAATTCCCTAAGGTAGCAAAGGAGGCTTCTGTATTTGTATTGAGACCTGGCAGCAGTTCAGGGCTTGTTAATGAATATACTTCATCATCAGTTCAGATCAAAGTTGTTCTCAAGCCAGCAAGTAGAGCCATTTGGTCTTGGACTGAATCAGCGGAAGAATTTATCTATTAAACAATTCAAAACTAAGAAGTAGCTATTTTGAAATCCTTTCTAGGAATACTGTCTCTCTACCTGTAGCCAAACAGGCATAAACAGAGAAAGGGTAGAGTATGTTCAGTACCACAAATCAGAATTCTTAGTCTGTATCTTCTTAACTTTTACATTTGTGTAAGGTAGAAGTCCTAGAGACCTCATTGTCAGAAAATGAGATGATAAAACAAAATCTGTTCTTTGGAAAAATAAATAAGGAAAAAAACCCACCTATGAGGACTGGGTATTTTTCCCTTGTGTCTAATAGTAATAATAAAGCAAGGCTTAAGGAGGATAAGCACACTTAATGCAAGAGAAAAATTCAACATTTCTGGATTTTTCTTAGCTAAAGAATTGGAAATTACGGTCTTAGAGCAACCGTGTCTTTTGAATGAGTGTATTCGCAGAAGTTGCTTCTTAAATGCTTTGAATTTAATTGAAGCAGTTTCCAAGTTATAGCAGTTCCCTAGATATATTCTGCTGTAGGAGAAATAATAAAAGTAATTGGCTGGCCATTACGAATCTCTCTGGACAGAAGAAGCAATTGAACGCTTTGTGGATGTTTTTCAGAAACTTGAGTGCTTTACATTTATGTGCGTGTAATATTTATATAGATATATAGAGACTTTTGCTTTTCTAGCAACCATTAGTGTGCTTCCAGGAGATGAGATCTCAGATAGTGATCTCAATTCTTGTTGCAAGAATAAACTTTTTGAGTGAAGCTGCATATATCCATAACAAATTTAAAGGTAGTGATCTTTAAACACATTGTTCTTATAATACCTGTTCTCTGTACTCTGCTTTGTTCCAATCGGAGAAAGTCTTGGAGTCTAAGAGAATAAATGGTAATTGTAGCAGTCAGTCATGACTCACAGACATAACTTTCTGCGTGCAGACTGGTTTGTAGTTCATCTACCAATTGTGAAGATGTAGGCAAACTTAACTAAAAAGGGGTTACTTTATTTTATCAAAAAGATGCTAACCTCCCCCCAACCTAAAATGTCACCTCTTTACTATTACTGTTTGGGAGGGGGGTAAATTATGTTTCTTTATATAATGTATATACATGTATAAAAATAAATAAAATTTCTATTTTTTTCCCCTCAAACCTTTGCCTACTTTGCTTACTCCCTTGATTCTGATAAGTAGTAGCTTGTGCTGTAAACAAATGAAGTGAAAGGACATTTTAAAATTCTTTTTAAGGTGATTTTGAAACGAATGTTTTTAAAAAAAAATCTTTCAGAGTGACATTTCAAAATGAGATCATAAGAGCAAAATAAAACAGAATTTGATATTCTCATTACCAGAGGATCTTCTTTGTAGTCCTTATTTGGATAAATGAGTAGGTCTCCTTACAGCTATATGTGGTCTTTGTAGTAAGTTTTTTGGAAATATGGCCTAAACTTTTATGTTTCATGGCAGTATGTTTATCTGGGTCGTGTATTATGTGGTGCTAATTAAACTTCTTAAGAATATGAGAACCAAGGAACAAGACAGCCATACTTCAAAAATATGCTGACATCATGAGTGTGTTCATCAACTCTGGATTAGCTAGAAGTGGCAATGTGTACTCTAGTGGCATTTTTGTGATTTTTTTTTTTTTTTTTTTTTTTTTTTTTTAATTTCCCCCCCCCCCAATAATAGTCTTGTTTCCTAATAACTGAGGAAGCTATTATTTTAGCTGCTAGTTGCACTAGGGTATAACGTATTTAAAATAAGCTGTGTTCTACAGTCCTCCAAGAGAAATGAGGCGTGATCGAGCCCTAAAATAGTATTAAAATGTATATACAGCTTTTGAAACATGAGTATTCTTTCAGGTAAGTTCTTGTCCCACAGACCCGCTCACACACTTAGATGCAGGTGCCCCCCTAGGGGATGTGGGTTATGTGGGTGCTCCAGCTTCTGTGTCCCTGTGCTGCTTCCTGCAGTCTGTTAACGTGCATGCTGGTAGAAAGCACCCCTGAAGTCACACGCGTGCACTGAGATGCGGGATGTATGCATTGCTTCCCATGATGTCTGTCCCCTCCCTGGGCACAGGCTCACCTCAGCGTCTGACCAGGAGGCAGCTCTGTCTGGCCTAGGCAAAGACGTGCTGCTGGTGGGGTGACTTTTGATGGCATCGAACCATGTTTTGACTGCTGCTCTGGTACCCTCTTCTCCCCACAATTACAGATGTTCAAGCTTCTTTTATGCTTCCCATCAAGTGGAATCCTTCCCCCCCACCCCGTTTAATCTGGCAGAAGGGTCATCTTCCTCAGCCCTCCTCTCAGTCAGTTTTGGCTATTCCATTCACACACAGTGTTTACACAGGCATTGCTTATTTTAGCAGCTGTTTTTATCTTTGCCATTTTGCTGGGGGAGATGTGTGGATTCCCCAGCAGTAGATGACTGTATTTCTCTGCTTATCTCATGAGATGGGAGCGACATTCTTCTGTATCACACATTTAGAGTACTTTGAGTCATAATTGAAAGGAACACATACACACACACACACTCAAAGAGTATGTTTTGTTCTTCCCGTATGACTTTCCAGAGGAATCCTGATATTTTAGCAGATACTGCTACTAGAAATATCGACCGTATTAAATTGTAATCAATTTCCTCAGGTTTGACTTTCACAGCAAGCCAGAGAAATGGAGGGAAGTACAGTAAAGCTCATTTCTGTGATGTTTTCAGCCTGGCAGAATTGCAATTGCTTTTTGGATCTTTGTGGCCTTTTTTCTGTGCTTTGTGTTATTAAATTTTTTTCTGGTGGGAACTTTGACTTTTGTATATTTGTGTAGTCCTGAGTGCCAAGCTATATTGGCAAAGGCATTACAAACTCTTCAAATATGGGAAGATGTCACTATCATTTTAGTGTCTATGAAGAAAAAGTGATTGCCATTTAGTAAGGGGATAATGCATTCCCAAGATCCCTTTTAGCCTCAAAAGGTCTTGGTTAGGAAGTTTTGATTGTTTCACTGCGTATCACTGTACCTATCAGAGACTTCTGCTCTCTGCTGTCAATAGAACAGTGTTGAAATAAAACTGCTGTCCCTAACTACTATTCAAACATGTCCCCTGCACCAGCAGAGCCTTAAGTAGCATCTGGAACTGCAGATGTCTGTCTGTCTTTCCTTGTTTTGTGAAAGCTCACTCAGCTTTCATGTCTGTTTGACTAAGGTAAACTTGCAAGAACTTCAAGTACTTGCTGATGTTTCCAAAGCTTCTGCTGTGCTGTCAGGAATTTGATACACCATAGCAGATTAGTGTTGTGTCACTTATAAGCATTGTTTGATGCCACAGCTGCCGCAGACTGTTCTAAAACTTGAAGGGTTTTCTTTGCTGCAGCGTGTAGTTTCTTCTAAAAGAAGTTTGATCTGTTGAGCACCTTCCCCCTAAAAAGAAGCATTCTTGTTCAGAGCCTATCTAGAGCAGGCGTGCATGGATTCATCCGGCTATATTTTATGACACCTTGCGAGCATTGTAGTGTGTGTAGCATGTGTGCCCCAGCTGTGATGATAATTGCCTTGAGATAGTCATTGCAAACAGGTACTGGGCAAAGAAGCCCTTCCACTCGCCTTTACTGTCTAGGCTGATAAAGCTGAGATCTCTCTTCTTGGCTCAGAAGCTTGCTTCTGCAGTCAGACAGCTCAAGCGTGTAACTGGCGGCAGAACACAGTTTACATACTACTGCATTATTCTTCAGATACTGAGAAGTATGTGTATAACATTTCTCTAGCATGTGAAGAGCCATCACGTACCTGTAACGATGAGCAGTGCCACTGCTTTGTTTTATGTTAGCAAATAAGAATGATGCCAGATTTCCTCTTTGTTCAGAAAAAGGTTAACCAGTGGAAGTTGATAGCTAATCTAAATTTTAATGAATATCTTTCAAGGGCCCTGGGCATGCTAGCAGATGGGCTGTATTGCTTCAGGCTACTGAATCATGAATAGGAAGTGTCCTACAAGCTGACTTCTGAGATTGGGGTCAACCTCTCTATGTTAAAAGTCAGTAAGAAGTGTCAGTATTAACCAGAGACAGCTGGTTGTCAGGGCCCCACTTGGGCACATTCCAGAATTTCTGCTTAAAGAAATTGGGTCATATCTTCTACCACTTCATTTCTGCACAGTGTATTGTCCTGGCTGCAGGACGTTTTACGCCCATGGAAGCAAAATCCCTGTTCTCAGACTTTTGAATATTCAGCTTAAGTGAGGTTGATCAGTAGTCTGCAGGTTCTTCCATCTCACGATACGCACACTGGATAACTCTTTGGTTTAGGATTTATCTGTTTAGTTCCCAGCTGTGGAGACTGTTTGCTAATAGGTGTGCTTTTTCATGAGTCCAGGTGCTGTACGTTAGTTATTTGATATGTACATGTGGCTTCTACAGTTCATATTCCCTAGTGTGAAAGTTAATACAGGCAGGGTATTTTAGGGAAAAGGAGTTACAGGTAAGAGACCTCTCTCCTTGAATGCACAATCATTTTGCCTGAAAATAGGTTCCTATTGCAGTCTCCTTTTCTGTCCTTCTCTGGGACAGTTCTTGGAAAAGTGGATCAAATTAAGAGGATGGAACTGAAAAAGAAAGGCCATGGAATGGATTTGAGTATACGTTAGATAAGATAGTATGTGTAGCACTTAGAAGTGATAGGAACAGGAGAGAGAAAGCCTATGATCTTGCTATGGTCAAAACAAGATAGCAGGGTCTTGAGAGGGAGGTGCATCATACTTTTCCTGTAGCTTCAAATGACAAGGCTTGCATTTTTTCCTAGGGGTAGAACTGGCCTCTGCAAAGACAGTGAGGAAGGAGATGCCAATAGAAATGGTGGCCTGGGAGGACAGAAATGGGCTTAGGAATGGGGATGGTGATGGAGAGACCTAAAGGGCTTGGCTATGCCAGGGATAAATGGCATGGCAGGAGGGCTGCAGATGTGGGCGTCTAGATTAGCTCTGGTGAGAGGGTCAGGGAGAGCAGAGGAAGAAGAGTGGCAGAACTATTGAGTGCAGAGGGATGGTGATGACAAAATGGGGAGAATCAAGGTGATAGGAAAAAGGACAGGAGATGTCAGAATAAACATACAGCAGGACCTAGGGTGGATTACAGGTAGACAAGAGTGCAAGTTTTCTTCCAGACCCCCAAGTAGAATCCTGCACTATCTGCCATCTATGAAGCTGTTTGACTTAAATACAAAAGTGATATGCTCTTCAGGTAAGAGAAATTATAGTTAAGATGGTAAAAATGTCATTCACTGTTTTAAGAAGTAGTGTTAAGAAAGAGTCACATAATTTTTACATATGAGGAAGTTTAATATTTAAACTAGCCAAATGTTTGCAAGCTATGAAGAACTTCAAAGGAATGGAAGGAAAGACTTAAGAGAAGGTTACTGGATTAAAAACGTAGAGAATTGAAAATGCTTATCAAATGTGAAAGTACACACTGGATTTACACTTTTTAAGAGTATGCCTTTCTGCTTGTTTTGTAACCATTGTGCTGTGAACTTAAGTCACTACAAAACTAGACTGAAAATATTTTTTAAGTAAATAGTATCTAGTTCCTACCCAGGTCCTTCTTTAGGATATGAGATCACTTAAATAAGTATTAGAAATGTTAATGAGTTAAAACGGCACAGGCAATTTCCAGTACTGATTTTTTAATAAAAATGTGATTATATGGTGCCCGAACTATTCCATCTACTTATAATAGGTCCATAGGATTCAGGGTCTCTAGTTACTGCTTTTCTGAGAGAATTTTGACCTCCAAAGTGTTGGTGCTTTGTATTTTGGCTTGCTAATCAGCCACTTGATGTTTACATTCTGTTTTGAAAAGAGGAGTTTTATTTACATAAGTGATTTCTTCCTCCTGGGTACCTTCCAACCAAAGTCCATACTCTTCTCAGCTGGAAGGCAGGCAGGTAATCATAACTACCAATTTTCTTCCTGCTGTTTTCTGGCTGATCCTCCTGTCAGATCCTCCATCTGCTCTGTGATACTATTCCCACAACTTGTCTCTGCCGGTTCTTCCTAGATACTGTATTTCCTTGCTAACTTTGATAGAAATTGTCAAAGCAATTGCATAGCAAAAAGTTGTCATGCAATGAAGTTTTTTCAGTGCTCAAGAAAAACTAGGAAACTTCACAGGACTGCGTAGAACATACATTAGATGGATAATTCTGTTGCATATTCAGTTTCAAAATGGTTACCAAGTTAGTATCAGAATTTTGAAAAGTTTCAGTTTGTATAAGAGTTCCAGGTGGTACAGTTTGCACCTTGTGTCATTTGTGTGGATGGGAGGACAAGGCTGTATTCTCTTAGAATTACAAGTGAATTAGTCAAGTCAAATATAATGAGGCGATGACTATTCTGAGTATTCCTATGGGCCTTAGGCTGTGGTAAGACTCCAGACATGTTTGCTGTATGATTTAGGTAACCTTATGTCTATCCATATGTAGAAACTTAATTTATTGCAAAAACTGAGTTCATAATGAGTAAAATAACAACAGAGCAGTTATTTTTAATAATGGCACTGACACTGTAATTTTGATGTACATTTGGGAGGTGCTTCATTTCTTGTGGCATCTCACAATGTGAACTTGGGTCAAATCCTATCAAATATACTTTGCAAGTCTAAACCTGGTCTCACTGAGTGGCAACAGTGATGCCTAAAATTAGCCTGCAGAATTGCGTTTTGACTGCTTTGGTTCCCAGTATTTTAAAAAAGTATTAATTAGTACTTTTGAGGCTAGTCATTCTTACAATAAATTCTCATAGTTCACCTTTTCCTGGCTGCTCTGTTCTAGGCATCCTAGAGGAGGATCATTTATCCGGCCAAACAAGGCAAATTTTGGAGTAGACTTTCTTACTGCAGTAAAGGATCGCTATGGATTGAATGATGAGCAAGATGTTCAACGTGGGACAGAGAATACACTAGTATTTGGAAAGAAGGCCGTGGAATTTGTTGGCATGGATTCTATTGCAGAACAACAAAGGCAAGTGTAATATATGAAAATCTAAGATACACTCTTAGCAACTAATTAGTCAAGTAGTAGTTTAACTGTAAGGAAAAGCAGCTGGCTGCCTTGCGTATAATATTGTCAGATTTCTAAAAGTAAGCCAAAGTGCACTTACGGTGGAAGAGGCAAGAAATCTTCCTATTGTGTCTTCATAATTTACCTATTTTACAGATAGAAACTGGGATTATGTCATGTTTGAGTGCTCACAATCCTTATTTTGATTTCACAAAGTAGGAGGTGATGATATTTGGGGAGAGTGAGTGAGATAAATTATCGTGATATTGGCAATGGTTATACACATGCATGGTCCTTTTTAAATAGATGTATTTTAATATTTTCTTAATATTGTACAGTATTGTTTTGTCTCTGTTTACTCATATCAGTAATGACTTTCTAACTAAGAGAGAGAAGTGCCTTCTATGTACTGCTAGTGAAGAAGTTATGTTCATGTCACATTCATTTATCTGGCAGGGGAAGAAAAGAAGTAACTTAATGATGTGTAATAGATTGCAGTTTTAATGATCTCCAGCAGTAGAGAGGGATCAGTTCAGTAGGTGGCAGTCTGCTTCTGAGCTGGTACTCCACAACCATGTTCCCTTTGTCTCCCAGAACATACTGAGCAGTTGAAAATACTCTTTTTTTTTTTTGTCTTTTTTTGCTAAGTGATACAAAGAATGCCCAAATAATTTAGAACCTCTTGCAAAAAGTATTACAAGAAACCTGTTTAACTTGGAACCTCTAATTCAATTCCAATTCGCATAGCTATATTTTGTCTGGTTTATAACTCTCTTTTTCAGCTGGATGAAGGTTGGCTGGGGGTTTTTCTGGGGGTGGGGGTCATGATTCAACCAGACCTATTTTGTAGTAGCAATGTAAAGGCAAAAAATAGAGAAGATGTGTCTGTTTCCAAGACAGACAGACCCTGCAATGTAGCAATCTGCACATTGCTAATTCTAAAGGAGACGGGATGTATGAAAAGGATATTATTTAGCTGGTAGAAGCAGGTATTTATATAACGGTCCTATTTCTGTTTGAAAATTACTTGACAGAATGTTCTTTCTCATTTAGCCAGCTGAACCAACTGGTGGATATCTCTGTGCGTGAGTGTGCAGTGAGCCATGCTGGTCAGAAAGAGGAAATCAGCAGAACATGTGCTAGTATCCTTTTTTGCTATATTGCATGATACCACAAATAAAATTTTAGCGTTCCAAGTGCTCACTTCAGTGAATGATGTTTGTATCCTTTTATTAAAAAATGTTTTAAACTGCAGTTTATATTTAGAAGCTTAAGGCAATGTTTACAGAGTTAAAAAGGCATCTAGCCTACAAATTTTGAGAGGGAATGCAAATTGTGGATAGAAGTAGAAATATTGTCATAGGTTGCTAGTGTGACTGTCATTTCAGAAGGCTCCAGCAATGTTTTGTCTTATTTTTTTTAATTTAACTCTAGAATAAATAACTCCATAAAAACCACAACTTATAAGTTCTGTAGGCATCACAGGTTTCCAATATATAATAAATAATGTTTTCAATATACTGTGTGTTGTAGCGATGTTACAGAAATACAAAGCAGGTTTTATTTGTTCATTTGTAATGACTGGTAAGAGTTCCTGTCAATACAGAAATTAATCCATTTTAAGATTTGTAAAGTTAAGCTCTTTTATAAAACTATAAGCCATTTCCATACCACAAATTAAAATAAAATTTGCTGTAACTGAGCAGTAGTATCTCTTAGCCCAAACAAGTGTAATCTATTTCTGCTTATTTGATTCAAAATCAAACTCCTAATTGCGATTTCTGAAAAAGGAAGTTCAGATTTGAGATGTTTCTTTTTCTTAATGTGAAATTTCAGATATCAGGCATATAAATCTATCAAAAAATCTGATATCATCTTGGGAGACAGTAACAGTTATTGCTTCTCAAGTTCAAAATCTGGAAACACTTAATATCAGGTATAAATATTCATATTTGGGTTTCTGTTCCTTTGGGGTAGGGACAAAAAAGAAGCAGCTCTTTTAGATACAGGGTCAGCTTTTACAGGTAACTGGATGCCTCAATACTTATTTTAATGGGAGCTAAGTTTTTTTAATGCTTTTTTTTTTAAAAATCTTGTCCTTAAACAGCTCGTGTGTGTGCTATAATTTTTCAGGCATCCCTTTATCAAGGAAAGACTAGAACCCTAGGAGTTTAGCATCTATGTAAAACTAAATTTTGGAGAAGTGCTTGGGGCAGATGGATGTTGACTGGAGTTTTGTAATTGGAAAAATCACAGTTGTCTGAAAAACAGAATACAGATTTCAGCCATTAAACATTTACCAGAATTTAGATATTTGTCAATGTGTTCTACATAACAGATTTCATCATTTTTATGCAAATGGGCTTGTTGGATAGGGGGACAGGGTTAAAATGCATTATAGATTTTTACAGGGTGCTGTAGACTTTTAAGCGGTTAGACTGAGTTACTCGGGGCACTTTTATAGAAATGAGGAAACAGGGAGCATAGAAACTTAGGTTTACAGCATCGTAAGATGCCCTTATACACTTCTTTGACTTCTAAGACAATGAATTCTCTTGATTTTCAAGCTTAGTTTGCCCCAAGGCAGAACCAACTTAACGTGTGTGCATCCCCATTGCATGTCTACAGTGGGTCTGGTTTGCATCAAGGAGACCAGCTCCTCAGCAGACATAGCCGAATTTGCTGTGTGCCTGTGCAGCAGGTCAGGCTCTCCAGGCACATGTGCGTAGCATCTGCATGGCACGGGCAGGGTGTGCGGGCTCCGCTGGCAGATGGGCCCCTTGGAAGAAGCCAAGGCCTTGAGGTGGCTCTGCTGCAGGAGTTTGCAGCCTGTCTGTGAAAGCACTAGTCCTTATCGCTTAAAAATCTCGCTTAGCATTTTTTAGTTAGGTTTAGCAGTAGCTATCTGTTTGCCTTCTGGGTTTGCAAACCTGTTTGTTTTTTTTCATGAGCTTAGAAATTTATTTCTACACAGAAAAACTGTAAAGTAAATATATTTTATTTTTCTTTTTAAAGTCATTCCCAGTGTCTTAAGAGTTTATCTCTTTTTTACTATTGTAGATATATTCTGACTGCCCAGGCAAGTCTTTACTTAGGAGCCCGCTTTTGTTTAAGAATAATGCTTTATCAACAGTGTCTTGACACCAAATTCAAATATCTATAACGCTTTAACCAAACCTTAAGTATCCCAAGACCCTGTCTATTCCTGTCCTGAAATGATGCTGATAAGAACTGTGGATCATGGTGACAGGCCGAGGGGAAAATTTCTTGTACAGTGATGATGTTGGAAAAGTAGGGAGGATGCTGTTAAGTGAAGCTGCAATACCATTGAAACAAGAAAGGATTCACAATTTTGAAATAAAGGACGTTTCTAGTACACAACTATACACTGTAGCTGGCATACGCCAGAATAATTTTCTCGTGCAAACTCACACAGAGGATTAAAGTTTGTAAATTGGTAGCAGTCTACACCACTAATTTTGAGAAATTAATGTTGTAGCTGCAACTCTAGACAGTTTGGTTTATTGTCAAGGTTAACACTTTGACTGCTGACTCTTTAAGCAGAGCTGTTGAGCTGTTTTGGAGGTCATACTAATCACTGAAGACAGAACCAGGGCAATGGGACTGAAGGCGAAAACCCAAAATACAACTTTTTTTTTGGAGTCTTGGAGGTGTGTGTTGAGATCTGCAGCTTACAAAGCCTTCATTGTACAGCACACACAATGTAGCTAAAACAGTTGAAAGTCATGTAAACTAACTTGAAATAAACACCAAGTTCATTTAATAAAAAAGTGACTCCAGCTTTGTATTTGTTCTTACAGTAAATGTGACAAAAATGTATTTTTTAAATAGTCGTAGGTGTTCCATTTTCTTCAATATTTAGCACTGAACAGCTGCTTGCAACCTGGGTGCTATTTGTAAATCTGACTTTGCCTAGAGCATATGTTGTCATGATTTATTATTATCAGCGTGCATGAGAATACAGAGAATTTATTTTAATTCATCTAGAATAGTTTTTTCAGTTTTTCATTGTTCAGAAGCGTAGTCTAGACTGAAGGGTTTTCAGAAGTTATTTGTTATAAAACTGGAAAGCAAAATGGGATTTGTGCTGGAATCTGACGCTTAGGACTACAAACTGAAATAGTCTAAATTTGTTTTTTATTGTTTTGACCTTCTGTTTACTTTTAATAAGGCAGACATTAGCAGGTAAGTCTGTTACTGACTTTTTTTGTGCAAGCAATGTTGGAAGATGAATAAAGGTGACTAGCCATCCACCAGCCCTCTAAGAGCTTGTTTAAGTGGGGAAATTTAACCCATAAGTATGTAAAGTAACTACACTGAGAGATTTTTATCATGATATGCAGATAGATCAGACCTTAGGAAAGAAATAAAAACTTTTGTTTGGGGGTGAGTCATGAAAACATATTTGAAGACTGCAGATTTGAGAATATTTTTAACTATTTTATAGTGATTTTTTTTGCTATTGAGAGTGGATTTTACATCCTTTTGTTTTACTGGGGTCTGGGTAGTCACGTAGGCTCTTTATTTTCAATCAACACTAAGGAGTTTAAGCCCAAAATCTGACTTTGTTTCATTTAATACTAATGAAAATAATTTTTTTCATATTCAAAACTTAGGGGAGGGAAAGGGGGGAAGGAGGCCACAGATGAATAAATATGCATTCATGAAGCAGGAAATTTGAATATAACTAGAAGGATACTTTATAATACTTTAAAATATGTGGCAACTTGGCAGTGACTTTTTAAAATTTTTTGTGTAAATTGTTTTTGTCTTTAATCCGTAATTCCAAATTAGTGACTTAAATAAATGCAATTATTCATTATGCTATTAATTATTCTTTTCACACAGTGAAAACAAAATGAAGTTTCCATCTACATCAACTTCTGCATCCAGTGTATTCTCAAAATTGAAGATTCTGGCACTTAATCAAACTGAGATAACATGGGCAGAGGTAATAACCTTTCCTGGTCTTGTTTTTATTTCTGTTGTCAGGTTTTTGAGGCAAGGAAAGCACAATAAATATTTATGCGTTATATTATTTTACTGAAATGTAACCAACCTTAGAAAAGGTGCTGTGGCGTAACCGCATTAGTTACACAGTAACTAACATAGTTCCCACATAATGTAGGAAGTTTTATTGGCACAGGAGTCTAACAAGAAACATTTAAATTCATTACCAAGTCAAGATAAAGCAGTTGGAGTAACTTTATGTCCCAAAGGCTTGCGTGAATGAAAACATTGTTTCCTTGTAGTTATTAAATGTTTACCTGTTATTTTTATGCATGTAATAGAACAAATGCAAATGGCAAGAATGTATGTCATTATGAAGTTAATTACTTGTTTTGGCATCACTTTGCATCAGCAGGAGATTGGCT